ATGTTGATCAATTCTTAAACATAAAATATAAATTAGGGATTTAATCATGTGTACCTGATAATCCTGTAAACGTAGTTAGGGATGAAGCCATGATTCTCACGCAGATCGAGTTCCCGTTTAGGGTGTATCGTTATGATGGCTAAGGTGAGGATGAGACTCACGAGAATAGAGAGGCAGAGAGAAGGCGTAAGATTGGTGTGTGTTCTGATCTCTGCCTAATGACCTCTATGTATACACCCAAGGGGAAACCCTAATTAGGTCATAAGGGTAATTACGTCCATCGAATAATTACCAATTAAGTACGTAGGGTATTTATTAGGTCAATGATCAATTAATTAGATAAATGATAACTCAGGCCACATAATAAAATCGTGTCCAACAGAATTCTCTTAATCTCTCGTCTATCTTTTCTTGGAGCTCGGAAATGCTCGAAGTTTTCCTTCTCTCTTTACCTCTCCTTTCTTGGAGCTCGAAGACGCTCGAAGTTCTTCCCTATCCGATACGATATTCGTATCAGATCGACCCTTAATTTCCATAGCTATAGTTTTAATTTGATTATATCTTGGGGGTTAGCTAAGGGCTATTTATAAATTTTTAATTTGTTTTGGACCGCACGACGAGTTCCCAACAAAGTTTGGCGCCGTTTTCAGAGAAAGTTTTGCATAAAATTTATTTGACATTTCTATTTTATTTTTAATTAATTAAAATGATTTTCATTATTTTTTATTTGATGACCATTACATTTGTATAACACTTTAAAATAGTTACAAATTGTTTATCAAATACATCATGTATCATTAATAAAGAATTTAAAATAAATGATATTTCATTTTTAGATGTCAAAATATATTTAGAATATATGTGAGTTCGTGCAAATAACGGACTTAACACTAGTATGTTGAATTTGTGCTAATTTGTTCATTTTTATAAGTACAACATGTATGGATGTTTTATGTAGGAGGTATGTGCTGATTTTGAAGCATTTAATGCTAAATATGTAAGAAAAAATGATTCATACTTGCTGATTTTTATAAAAATCTGCACTTTTTTTAATTTAGCTTATGTGCTGGTTTTTGTTCCTTAGAGTGCTCCTTTGCATGAATATGAATTATTTTGAAGCATGTCATTGTGTTTATATGCTGATTTTTGATGTATTGTGTTGATTTTAAGAAACACCCTAATTTGAAGTGCATCTCTTTTTTATTGATTGTTGTGTTCCTTAAAAGCTTATTACTTGAATTATGATTTTTAATTGTCAAAAACTTGCATTGAAAGTAGCTTGGGTGCATTTAGCATATTTCTACAAGCTGATTTTAAGTTCTATATGCTCCAAAAGTGAACTGATCTGATTTTGAACATGATTTTTCATATTAATTTGGTTATTGAGAATCTAATTTTTAATTCTTAATTATGCATAAATCACTATTCTTGGAGTTGAAGTTAATTTTGAGGCTACCTTCTTTTTATTTCTTTTTAGTGTTTTATAGAAACACTTTTACTTCTCTTTATACTTGGTGGCTTAAGTGAATACTTATTTTTTTCTCATGCTTCGCACGAAATCGTATAATATCACGTAAAATATATTATACAAATTACACATCGTCTTATAAAAATTGAAACTAAAAATGAAAATATATGAGTTGTGCAAAATGAATGAAAATGTACAGTATTTTCTTATATAGATTAGGATAAACTAGTGGAATAAAATATTAGAGACCTCATTTATATATGAATTCTTTTTATCTTTTATAACTAAGTTTTAAGTCGTTTAATAATATATATGATTATTTAATATTGTTTTTATATGATGATGATATATATTACATATGTGGTTATTATTGTTTGTTGTTCTTATTATAACCATCACAATGATGGTGCTAAGTGCGAGAGGGTTATGACATGAAAATTGGAGAAGAGGGGAAGATCAAGAGTTGTTCTTTTTTGTTGCTCTTCCGTACACGTTTGAGTTCTACAATTTTGGATTTCAAATATTTTTGAGAAATACAAAACTTACACTATTAAATTCAACATTTTCATACAACATTTTGACATAATTTGTTAGTTAAGAGGAGTCTAAATTTAATTTACTTGGCTAATATAATTAATATTCATCAAGTAATAATAAACATAATTGTTGTCAAACCAAGCCTTTTTTCTTCCATTTCATTTTATATTTTAAATACGGTAATCAGCAAACAACTAAGTTTATATTATATTTTTCATTAATTTAGTCAATGGTCACACTTAAATTAATTTGATCAATAGTCACACTTAAATTTTAATCGTCGACAACCTGAATGATACATTAGAAGTGAGCTCATTATCTATGAAGTCTCTAACTCTTCTAATAATTTGTGTTAAACATTATACTCATATATCATATTTTTTTAAATTTTCGACAAAACTTCTACCAGTAGCCAGAGAATTATTCTCTATACTGTATGAAACAAATAGAACAATTTGTTTTTATTAGTATGTTAATAATGTTCCATGATTATTATATTGTCAAACACATGTAATAATACCTACCTGTATTAAAAGGGTGCATTTAATAAA